TTTAGGCACTCCAAACTGTAGTCTCTGGGTATCATCTCGGCTCTTCTGGCATCTGGCTTCATCACTGTCGATTAACTGACACGACTAGTCAGCTATTGTTAATCAGCCTGGCTCGGCTAACTAACCTAGGAAGGACTTCCTGACATGGCTTCGACGGCCCGGAGGTATGCTGAACATCTGGGTTGGCTAAATACCATAGTCCGGTAACGTCTTCCCTGATTTCCTCTAATGACCGAGTTTGGTTTGCCCTGAGGATGCTATCCAGCGGCTGTAGAGATGCTATCTCTCCATCAATCGTTGCATGGCTCTCTGTATTCATTACTGCCGTTCGTTGCTGTTGAAACAACGGTCCATTATTGCTGGCAAGGTATGGTTACGATAGCCCTTCTTGTCGGTTGCAGTGGTACCCTTAACGGTTGCCCTTCGGGGTGTCGTCAGCCAATTCATTCCTCCTGCTGTTGTTGATGCCAGAACTGTGCGTCCACTTTTTGTACGATGAAACCCATCAGTGCCTTTGTGTGTGCGATCACATGAAAACAAACAGAAAATATAATATGGCAGTTAAAAATCTTATATTAAAATATATATAAATAAACTTTATATTGTGATACCCATCTGACTCATTATACTAAATAAAATTAAACCGATTAACGTACCGCGTGACTATTTCTATTATTATTTTGAAACTACCTTATTGGATTTATTATGCCGGTATCGAGGTGACCGCTTTTATTTTACTCGACTATTGACATTGACCGTTACATGTCATTGTCACTGACCCCAGTATGCATCACTCGGTTGAACCAATAAACCCATCGATAATCCTAGTACCCATTTTTTTTTTCCTCATTATATTTTTTTTTCCCTTCAATTTTCCCATAATAAAATATTCCAGATAACGTCTTGAAATTGGTCTTTCTTAAAAATGCCGCTTCCACCTATATATCATTATTTTTTTTTTATCGTTGAACTTGAACCTCATGTATGTGTTATGATACCTGATATATCATAACAATCGCGAACTCGAAACTCGAATATTATTTATAAGCAAAACTGTTTCGGATGGTGATTCAAACTAGATAAACATATGACAACCCATTTCTTATTTCTTGTTTCCCTACTTATTATTATTATTATTATTATTTTTTTTTTTTTCACGAACTGAATTTTGGTTTTTCAAATATGGAAAACATTCACCATTCAATTTTTTCTTCACAATTTGGATTCGCTGAAATACTTCTGTTTCATAAGCGAATGTCATTGAATCGGAATGACTGCCTTCCAAGAAATACCTTGATTTGTATTCCTAGATTTTGACTTCCCAATATGTTAGCTATTCTGCATATTTTGATATATCAAATACCTACACTTATAGTGTGAGTAAAATTGAATAATAACAAAGTGTGTATTAATTGGTGGCCTCATTTCGATTTTGTTAACAATAACAAATTCGTTCGAATGCAAATATCTATTAGAAATATGAACTAACCCAAGACTGTAAATTTATAATATATGAATCGCGAGTTTCTGCCATTAGCTTGATGAAACAGTGAAGTAGGCATTTTATTTTTCCGGAGGAGAAATAATACTTGCCTAGAATTTCTTATCTCTCGTGCCATGATATTGTCAAATTGTCATCTCGTCATCTCGGTCGTCTTGTTGTTAGCACCAGTAAGCTTCCTGGTTTTGCTTATCGATCTTCATAACAATAGGTTCTGCTGAGTTTCGGTTCATGATGGCTTCTTTCTAGAACTTCTTCTTTCTTCATGCATTTCTTGTCCTTAAACATACTCGAAAAAAAAAAACGAATAATACATGTTCGATTACTAAATGGACAACGATTTCCTCTGGAAATAAGACAATTACTTTTGGAAACATGCTGATCTTGCGTTAACTACTATCGATATCGGCTCCCTATTTTCTACCAATGTGATTCTGATTCTCTGATACCCATTTCCTTCACAATATGTACTTCCTTTGGTACCAAAATAATATTCACTTTGCGTGCTGTCTTCATATGTGCATCTGCGTCAGATCTGCTTCAGAGTCCATTATTCCTGTTCTAATTATTGGAACATTTGTCTAATATCCTAATTTTTCGATATAGCTCAAATATCCCTACAATGTAGAACATTTTCCGGGAGTTCGCGCTCGAGTTCGCGCTCGAGTTCGCGTGATGAAACCCTTGAGCTCACTTGACGTTTGGTTGGCCAACCTTTGCACATCATAGCACACCTAATAATGTACCAATTTCTCAACATTTCACGAATTCGATAATCTCACAATCTTAATAGGTTCGCTCAATAATAATTCTTATATATTCAATACTGTATCAATAACATCAATTAATTATCTCTTCTTATCGTTTTACTTTTGACTAATTCGGACCATTTCCTGAAACAACTACTCCCCTGGCTACTTACCTAGACGGGTATCGAATGATACAGGGTGATGATCCGATATCCACAGTGACTACTACACTGATCAAGTCGACAGCGATAGTTACCTTGACTCCTTGGTCAAAAACACAAATCTCTACTTTAGCTATACTCTACCCCGTTTGGGTTTCCTGATAGCCCGTATACAGTGCTTTTCACTGCATATCAATAGTTTCCTCACATTAAAAGCTTTTCGTATCTACATTAGCCGATATCTTAAAATCCTTTAATATATCATCAGAGCAAGTTTCCTAGTGAAAAAGATACTAAAATCACTCAAAACTGTTCGAGTTATCTAAACAATACGAAAGTACGATAATAATTGAATTTCTTCGTTATCTGATTCTTGATTTTTATCCTCCTCAATTATTTCAGACATATCGATTTCGGTTACTTCTGGAGTCCATGGGTCATTATACGGCAAAATTATTCTTATTTTGTTGATCAAATTCCACTATCAATACACCTTCATTCACCTCGAATATTTTATGCTTATATGAATTTAAAATATCAATATATCTACTTTTCTCTTTGAACTCCATATTTGTCAAATAATGCCCAAAAATCTACAAGTCAATAATTTTTCAAGACAGACATATTGGATGCCATAGGCATCCATCAATATCAATTATATATTCAGTCTTCAACTAATAATTATCATAAAAATTGCCATTAAAACTTAATTACTATTCATGCAAACATTTGAAAATCCTCAAAGTAAATGGTTATATATATATATAAGTGAGAAAAAATGTGTGCTTCCTCATAAAACTTTATAATTCTTGTTCATTCTCCAAGGATCGTAAATACTAATACTTTGCGAGAATTTTGAAACATAAAGCTTGGCCTGCGTTGAAAATTCCGAAAAAAATAGATTACCTATACCCTACCGTTAATGAATTCCGTCATAAGTGATTACATTCTGCATTGGGTAATGAAAAAATCGTGGAAAAACTATTTAGGGACATCCTTTATCTTAAGTATCATCAGCAACAAATATTCCTGGATCCCTTCAAAGTTCCAGTTGCCTATTCCGCGACACTGGATGCTACACTTGTGAATTGTGTACCTCATATTTCTTCATATGGTCACTTTCACAAATCTCGATCAACATAACAAAAACTCAATAATCAATGAAAATTCTCAATTAACTTCTATAATCATCATAAATTCTCAGCACTCATCAATAATTTTTTTTTCCACGCACAAGATCAAAATTACTCCTCTAAACAACATGTAAATCATCTAATGACATTTGAATTCTCGAAATATAGCACATCTTTATCAAAATAATAGTTCCTCTATGTTTTTCAATAGGCCATAAACAACTAAAAACAAATTGATATTTTTTACTCAGTTTTTTGTATGGGTACAGATGGTTTTAGCATGCCTATCTGTGTGCACTACCAGGAACGCCCCATTTGAAGATCAAACCGAGGCAGTCCAGTTTTAGCATGCTGGACCGTTCGCAAATCCTGGCCAGATGCCCCATATAAAAACAGATTTTTTATTCAATACTTAAAATAATGAAAATGTTTCACTGAAATATTTCTTGACTTCGATTAAATGAAAATAATCTAATTGAAATAACAAAAGAACATAAGATTTTGAAATGTGAGGTTGGTTATGAAGAACCAACCTCGGGAACGAGCCATTGGCGCCTCCACCATGTCATAATCTGTAGGCGGGGGTTGCCTAAGTTGTGTTCTAGATCCATTAGAGACTGAACTTCAAAAGTGATAATAATAAATAAACTCAAAAGGGTTTTCGAACAACACATATACACACATTTATTCTTGGCAATAAATAATGAAAACTTAACTTACCCTATATTTACAAATTAGCTGATATTTCTTGGGGCCTGAGGAAGGGCATCTTGTGTTCTGCCCGAACTCCGAAGGTTCGGGCACAGTGGCAACTTTACAAACTCACAATTGATAGAACTCAAACTTTTTGGACTTGTACTCAAAAACAGGACTAGAACTCGAACTGGCAGTCCAACTCGCAGTCGAACCGGTAGTCGAACTCGCTTCCTTACGTCTTTTAAATAGTTGTCTTTATTTTCGGAAACGTGATAGTAAGGAAATCAGGTCGATAGTCCAGGTTCGTTGAAGTCATTGTCACGCCTGTGTTTATGTTCAACTATAGAAAAAAAGTTCGTTCACGATTCGAAAATTTTGGAATTAATAAACAAAGACGCGACCGTTCAATGACTTCGAACCTTGTATGAATTTGAATGAATGAATGAAAAATAACCCTATTTGTGACAATAGTATGCCATGCTTTCGTATTCATATTCCGAAAAGTAGTGAAAATATGATATATAAAATTGGAATTTTATGCAGTGAAACAGTCAGTTCCTATTTCTTTGTTGTGTGAGTAAAAATCAGATACTAACAAAACGTTTTTTAACACATCTGAGAAACAAAACAACAACAGTACAGCGGAGAAACGACCTTTGACCCATTGTGGGCGCAAGGAACCCATGCTATTATAAATACACAGTTGCCAAATCATAAATAAAATCGGTGTGCAAATACGAATGAGTTTATTGAAATAAATATGCCTGACACAGACCAACTTACAAAACTACCTGCAGAGCAAAAACAATCATATGACCTGCTGATGAAGGCAAATCAAATACAAACAGAGGAAATCAAAAAGGAAATCAATAATACCACGAAAACACTACAAACAGCATCAAACAGAGCAAACAAAGAAATAGACTACTTAAAGAAAAGGTGAGAAGACTTGGAGAAGCAGAACTAAAGAAAAAACATTGTAGTTTTTGGTATAGAAACCGAAGAAGGAGAAGACAAACAACTACTTACAAAAAAAAAAGGATATCCTAAATACAACACTTGAGTCCAATATAACAGATGAACACATAAAAAATATATATAAACTAGGAAGAGGAAAAAACACTCCCATTTTGATTGAATTCGTCACATACTTGAAAAAGAAATCTTTGTATGGAAACTTAGAGAGATTGAAGGACCTCAACAAAAAAGGGTACCCGATCTCGAACGATCTCACGAAAGAGGAAAAGGAAGCCCTGAAAACATTGAAGGATCACCAGAAACAAGCTAGAGAACAAAATTTGGATGCAAAAATAAAAGGTCAAAAACTACTTATAAATGGAAAACCATACTCAGTAGAAGAACTGGAAAACACAACGAGGAAAAACAGTCATTGCGAAAAATATACACAGGACGACACTGAGAGTGGATCTAATAAAGAGGAGAAAGAAAATAAAGAAGAAGAGAAGAATCCATCCAAGAAAAGGAAGAAAGATAAAACAAAAACTACTCCAGTATACACAAGAAGTAAGAAGAATAGGTATTAACATAGCTTGTAATGCATTGAATACTAGTGGAATAGATACTCTCATTGAACTGAATAAATTGATGAAAATGGATCCTTATGTGAGAGACTTTGTGTTTGAAAAAATAGAAAATTTTCAATTGAAAAACGCGAATGAATTGAAGCAGGTTATAAACATCAATAAACAGTCTTCGAATTTTAAAATTATCCACAACAATATCAGAAGTTTATCTAAGAACTTTGATTAATACAACATTCTCCTCTCAGAATTAGATTATAAAGTTGATTGCATTGTATTTACTGAAACCTTACAGATACCTGATATCTCAATTTTCAAAATACCAGGCTATGTTCCATTTTATAACTCTGGGACGCTGAATCGAAATGACGGTGTAGTAGTATTTATCAAAAGTGAAATCTATCGTTCACATATCATCTATGACATTAGCGATAGTAAGTTGATTCAAATCAAAGTAGTTATTGATGATGATATTATAATAATAAATTCGGTATACAGATCACCGTCGAATCGTGATATTGATAAATTCGTGGATGATCTAGAGAGTATAGTGAAGCGTACTACAGAAAATTTCAAATATAGTTTATTAATAGGGGATATGAATATAGATCTTCTTGATATTGATAATGATTCTCAAAATTATTTAACAGTTCTGAATGAATACCGATTTATATCAGCAATAAATACTACCACACGGCCCTCATCTGGAACATGCATAGATCATATTTTTGTTAATTCTAAAACTAGTGAGTACGACACAATAATAGCTGCCACAGTCGAAACATGTGTAACAGATCACCTTTCAATAGCATTACAAATCGTACTCCCAAATAAAAACAGGAAAGAACAGAATAAACCTAGAATTCTGAAACAATTAAACGAGACGAAATTCAAAAAAATAATAAGTGAAGCAGACTGGTCAGAAATTTTCGCCGATGAAGATCTTGACATAGCAGTATACAAGTTCATGAACAAAATTCATGATGCTATCAAATTATCTGAGAGGCATATTAAAATAAACAACGAAAAATTTAGGAAGAGAGAATGGATAACGGGATCGCTGGTTAACTCCGTCAACACGGAAGATAAAATATATAAAAAGTTAATGAAACAACCGGACAATGAAGAATTAAAAATCGAATATAACCACTATAAAAATATACTGGATAAATTGATAAGAAATGTCAAAGTGGAATACTATAAAAACAAGTTAGCAGAGAGTAATAATTCGAAAAATATATGGAACACTATCAATAAACTTATGAAAAGTACTAAAGAATGAAAATAAATTAATCAGCGATCCCGTGAACATTGCAGAGAGCTTCAATAACTTTTTTATAAATATTGGGAAACAGCTGTCGCAAAATATTAAAATTGACAACCATTATCGAGAAAACAAGACCTCAAACCAACATTCGATTTACATTTTTCCGGCAGAAGAGAGAGAAGTTGAAAATATCATCTTGAACCTTAAAAATAAGAAATCTCCTGGTCCCGATGGCGTAAAATCGGAATTGATAAAATCAATAATGCAATATATCATCAAACCACTATTACATATAATTAATAAATCTTTGAATATTGGTAAATTCCCTACACTATTTAAAACTTCAACAATCATACCAATTTTCAAAAGTGGGGATAATACAGAAAGTACAAATTATCGTTAATTATCGTTAATATCAAATTTTAGCAAAATCCTTGAAAAAATCATCAAAAATAGATTGATAAGCTTTATACGAGGATCAAACATGGTCTGACCTAAGAACAAAAATTGAAAGTGATCTTCCACTAATTAAGAAATGGTTTGACAATAAACTATTATCAATCAATTTTAAGAAAACGTACTACGTACCTTTCTGCAGTTATGCATCAAGCCTTCCAGATTATCATGATTTATGTATACAAGGTGAGCTTCAAATCACTTCCGCGAACTCAATTAAATACTTGGGCATAATAATAGACAGTCATATCAGATGGGATCATCAGATAAACCATGTTCTGAAGAAACTAAGATGTGTAGTATATAAAATAGAACAATTTTCTGATATACTTGAAGAAAATCATCTAAAAATGCTCTATCACACTCTTTTTGAACCCCATCTGACATATGGAATTATTGGTTGGGGAGGAGGATTGCAGATATATATGAATAAAATCGAAGTCATTCAAAAACGCTTTTTGAAAATAATTTACAAAAAAGAATCGCGTTATCCGTCAGACCAACTCTATTCAGAAACAAAAATCCTTGATGTTAAACAACTATTTCTTATAAGTATTGCCACGACTCAGTTCGTTAACAAACAAGAATTGATGAGTAGATCTTCTCGATATGATACCAGAGGACAAACTCGATATATTGTTCCATTTATGCATAAATCGGTAGGGCAAAGAAGTTACAGTTTTTTGGGGCCAAAAATTTACAATTGCTTACCTGAAAGTCTGAGAGAGGAAACACATTTAAAATTGTATCGGAAGAAATTGAAAAAATATGTATCAGAAATGACCAGATTGACTGTACATGAAATTTTAAATATTTGAAATTTAAAGCATTTGTATGTATATGTATGTAGATATACATGTGTGTATGTGAGTTTATAAGTATATATGATCTGTGAATTTCCATTGATGAAGGTAGAATGGATATAGGTTAGGAAAATGATATATCGACATTCACAATTTTCAATATTCTTTGTCAATTATTACCCAATGTTATTTATAAATGTACCAGTTTTACGTCATAGCATTTTCTCCACATTTTGTATTTTCTGTATTTTATATATATATTTTTAATTCACATTCTTCATACTTATTTGTTGGATATTTTCGTATTAATATATACATATGTATGTACCTACAAACAAGTATTTTATATACTTCGTAGGATGATCCATGGATCATTATGTTTATTCCTCTACAGAGCTATTGTTTATATAAATTGTACTATTATTATGTAGATGAATAAACCATTATTATTATTATTAGAATGAGTGATAATAGAGGAATTTCTCGAATGTCTATGACTGGTAATTTAGCGGAAAATTGGAAGATTTGGCGTGCACGATTCCAAAATTATCTCATAGCCAGTGAATTGGTTAAGAAGGATGAAGTTACACAGTGTGCACAGCTATTGCATTACATTGGAGAAGAAGGTTTCAAAATATACTCCACTTTTCAAATTCAAGAAGAGGATATGAACAAGATTCAGAAGCTACTAAATGCATTCGAGCAGCATTTTTCACCAAGAGAGAATATAAATTATGAAAGGTATCGTTTTTTCACTTACAAGCAAGAGTCTGGTCAGACAACAGAGCAATTCATCACAGAAGTCAAGAAACGAGGAATGAATTGCAAGCTGGGTGATTTGCAAAATGATTTAATAAAAACCATGATAATTTGCGGAATATCTAGCAGTACTATACGTGAGAAATTACTACAGGAAGACCCACCAACATTGGATAAGGTTATTGAGATGTGTTATATCATGGAAGCTACGAAGAAATGGTTGCAGACTATAGATAATCAAGAAAATGCCATGGGATCTGTCGACCTGATTGGAAATCGTTCTGGAAATCGTCCTAGCCAAAAGAAAGAAAAACAAGATAATTCAAGAAACTATCATCAGAACTACTCGCGAAATTTCCAGTATCGTGATACATGTATTAGGAATTGTCGGAGATGTGGTAATGATCATGCAATCAACACTTCTCCTGCATTTGGGAAAAATGTAATTTCTGTCAAATTGACAATCATTTTGAAAATGTCTGTATGAGGAAGAATAAGAGTAAGCAAATTCATAATATAAGTAGAGATAACGAAACAGTAAATTCAATCAACTTAAATACAGAGGATGATTTTTTGTTCGTTGGTAGCATAGATGATAATGAAACGAATAATTCAGAGATTTTACAATGGTGTACCAACTTGTTAATTTCTGGTCACTGCATTAATTTCAAAATAGATACAGGATCCACAGCAAATATTATCACATTAGAAAATTTCAATAAGATTGGCTTTTCTCTTGATAAAATATCTAGAACTGAAACCAAATTGAAATCTTATACTGGTCAAGATTTGAAAGTGATTGGGAAATGTCTGTTGCAATGTTTTAAAAATGGAAAATGCTATGAGATACATTTCTTCATGGTTGATTCAAATTCACAATGCATACTGGGTCTGAAAACTTCTGTTGACTTGAATATTATCAAAAGAATACATGCTATAGATACTTGTGAAACTGATTCTATATACAATGCATTGTTGAATGAATTTCATGAAGTATTTTCTGGAATAGGATGTTCAAAAGGAGCATTATATCACATTACTCTTGAACCAAATTCGAAACCTGTAGTACATCCAACTAGGAAAGTGGCTTTACCAATACAGGATGATCTTAGAAAATCTTTGGAAAATTCAGAGAAACAAAACATTATTGAAAAAGTTACGGGTCCATCTGGTTGGGTAAATGCTCTGGTTATTGTTAGGAAACCCAATGGGAAGTTACGTATTTGTTTAGATCCGCTAGATTTGAATAAGGTTGTTAAAAGGGAATATTGCCAAATAATTACAATTGATGAGATAACAAGTAAATTGGCTGGAGAAAAATATTTCAGCACGCTTGATGCTGCGAATGGTTTCTATCAGATAACCCTGGATGAGTATAGTTCTGACTTATGTACTTTTGGTACTCCTTTCGGTAGGTACAAGTGTTTACGTTTACCATTCGGTATTAAGTGTGCTCCAAAAAAATTCAGAAACTTATTTCATTCAGAAGGATCAGAAGTATATATTGATGATATTATTGTTTGGGGAAGAACAAGAACGGAACATGATTTGAGACTAAGGAAAATTCTTGAAATAGCTAAAGATAATGGTGTAACATTCAATTTTGATAAATGCAAATTTGGTAGAACTAAAATTATTCACATGGGACATGTCATTTCAGAAAGCGGAGTTTCTCCAGATAATTCAAAAATTCAAGCC